GTACAGGCTGCAATGAGATGATCTGAAGACTTAACAAAAATTTCTATACAGAAACAAGTCATCCATAATGGCAGTACTCAACGATATAAGCACTGTCAACATTTGATTCCTAAAGTCTTTGTTCATTTTATATTTTAAAAGTAAACTAAAAATTCTAAGTCATTAAATTATGTTGAACGAATAAACATTCCAGAGCTACACAGAAATTCTAAATAAGTGAACAATTCTCCTCTCTAACATGGCATTTACACTTCCACTAGTTGCATAATTATTTTATAAGCAGCCCATGCAACACTCAAATTATTTCTCTTCGTATAAAAGAAACCGAAAGTACACACTTTAACGATTAGATGCTTAGTGCAAACTGGCCTTCAGTATTAGCCAGTTATATTTCTCAACACATACAAAAGGAAAGTTGTGAGATAAGAAAGAAACCAAGCCAAGAAAACAACTGCCCCGGCAACTTTCTGACAAAACAAAAAGGAAAAGGAGTCCAGCAAGATGAGTGAAAGAGACCAATTAAGTTTGGATACAAGAATTCCACCTGACTGGTAGCAGACCTGGGAAAGGGCAATTTTAGAGATAGCAAGACTGTCGGATGTAAACCAAATGTCTAGCACATGAAGAAGTTTTTTTGCCCACTGTCTGTCCAGTATTTCTGGAGCAAAGTTAACATTGTGTTAGTTTTAATACAAAAGCAACTCTTCTCTCAAATGTCACTCACCCTCTAGCTGCAAACAATTGTAGTTATTGAGAGCGATCGCCCATTCTGCTAAAAGTTAACGTAAGTGCTTGACAAAAATGGTGAAATAAATGCAGCCACTTTTCTGAGGTATTGTCGTCTTGTACCCGTTTCAACATCTCCTGGTCCATTTAAGAGTTTGGTTCGTTGAAACTAAAATAAAAAATGACATTAATCCAGGAAGCAATCAAAAAATGCAAAATGATTACTTAATCTTTTTAAATGTTGTAATTCTATGGAATATGCTCCACAGAAACTAAATATGTGACCCAAACTTCCCCTGAACCACTAGTCTCACAAAGCAACAAATGCTCTATTCTTCGATTCTTCCATTTCTCTCCAACAAAACAAACATTATTTACTGATCATTTACTGTTCTAGATGCTATGGATGAAACATGTAAATTACCAACACAGTTCTGTTTCAGGAGCAATAATCAATCTAAAAATCTGATTGCCTGTTATCCAGTATTAACCTCTCAGCTTCATCTACACATCATATTAACCCCAATCATGTTGCAGCCAGCTGTAAGAATAGACACTAAGCAAAGAAGCTTTTTTTTTTTTTTTTAACAGAGTCTCTGCTTGCCAGGTAGAGTGAGTGCCGTGCGTCAGCCTGCTCACAGCAACCTCAAACTCCTGGCTCAAGCGATCCTCCTGCCTCAGCCTCCCGAGTAGCTGGGACTACACAGGCGCCACCATCGCCGGCTAATCTTTTCTATACATATAGTTGGACACTTAATCTTCTATTTATAGTAGAGAGGGGTCTCGCTGTTGCTCAGGCTGTTTCGAACTCCTGACCTCGACCAATCTCCCAGGAGGATCGCTTGAGCCCAGGAGTCTGAGGTTGCTGTGAGCTAGGCTGACGCCACGGCACTCACTCTAGCCTGGGCAACAAAGTGAGACTCTTGAATTGGCTGGTGAATAAACCATGGGATCGCATGGAATAATCCTGGGAGAGAGCGCAGGAAGAGAAGGTAGTGACAGCGCAGTCGGAGGAAGGTAAGGAGTCCGCAGGGGGCTGAGCAGGTGACCGGAAGGCACCGTCAACAGCTGCAGCGAGCCCGAGGCACTGCTGGCCAGGAATCCAGCCGGCTTAGCGTGCAGGACATCAGAGCTCATTCCCTCCCAGCCTCGCCCTTCGAGACTGCAGGGGGTAGGGAAGGGGTGGTGTTTGGCAGAGAAATTAAAAAGGAAAAGGATGAGAGAAAAGCATTTTCAGACTAAAAATGCCTACAAAATTGAGCTGGGAGGAAGGCAAAAATGTAAGCTTATTATAAGCAAATATGCGGGAGAGGGGCTGCGAACCAGGACACAGAAGAGGGAGGGGACTGCTACTGTGAGGAGTGGGATTCAAGAGAGGGAATTTCTGCTGCTCTCTGGGGAGGAGGAGGCACCCGGCTACACTGCAGAGGCTGAGGAAACAGAAATGGTTTGAAGCATCTACTGTAAAGTATGGAAGAATAGGACTACACTTCCCAATTTCTATTTGTGTGTTTTTTGGAGGTTTTTTTTGAGACAGGAGTTCACTCTGTTGCCCAGGCTGGAATACAGTGGCATAATCACGGTTCACTGTAACCTTGAACCCCTGGGCTCAAGCGATCCTCCTGCCTCGGCCTCCCAAGTAGCTGGGAATACAGGTGTGAGCCACCATGCCTGGCTTTTTTAAAATTATTACTTTTTGTAGAGACGGGGTCTTGCTATGTTGCCCAGGCTGGTCTTGAACTCCTGGCCTCAGGAGATCCTCCTGCCGTGGCCTCCCAAAGTGCTAGGATTACAGGCATGAACCATCACACCCAGTCTATTTGTGTATTATAATTTCTAAAACTGCTACCCCAAGAAAATGGTTTCATTCTATCTGAAAGTGATACTTGAAAAATCACTAGTGTAAATAAGTTCTTTTAATACAACTGTGTACTGAATCTTAAAAAACAGGTAAATTATTTGCCAAATTTATTTGAAACTTCTCTCTTCCTCTTCCTCCTTTTTTGGCCTAGTACCCATTACGATCTCAGAAGACACTAGGATTCTTTGAAATCCAACCTGGGAACATTAAACCATGTCGAAAGCAGAGATAAATTGCAGATTAAAATGGACTGAACTAGACTGCATGGTTCATACAAAAAAATACCCAAAAAGTAGGAACATTAAGGAAATAAAAACAGGCACAATATTTATTTCCTTTAGAGTTCATTAACTATCCCTGCAGCACTGGCAGTGTGGAAGGATGGCTCACAGTGAGCGTGCAGTGTTAGAAACTACTGCGCCACTCGCATTATCTTATTCCATTCACAGAACAACTCACAAAGGAGGCAATCCCTGTTTTCAGACGAGGGACTGCAGGGAGGTGCAACAATGTGGTGACACAGCAAGATGCTCAAGCCCAGTGAGCACACGCCATGCTCAAAGAAGTGGACCAGGGTGTCTCGCAGATAGGGAAGTCTTGTGCCTGTCACAAGTCACTCTAGGCCACACTGAAGAACGTATAAGAAAATGGAAGGCCAGGTGGCGTGGCTCACACCTGTAATCCTAGCACTTTGGGAGGCCAAGGTAGGAGGATCACTTGCGACCAGGAGTTCAAGATTAGCCTGGGCCCCCAAGTCTATGATAAAAATAAAAACAATTAGCTGTGTTTGGCAGCACATGTCTGTAGTCCCAGCTACTCCGAAGAGGTTGAGGCAGGAAGATCGCCTAAGCCCAGGAGTTTGAAGCTGCAGTGAGCTATGATTGTGCCACTGCATTCTAGCCCAGGCACCAGAGCAAGAACCTGTCTCAAAAAGCACCCCCAAACAGAAAAATGCAATGCAAAGAAAATAAAAACACGATTCTGCCATCATGGCAGCTCACCCCAGCAGCAGCACCACAACAAAACGGTCACTTTCAAGTCTCAATTCTGGCAATCGGAAAGCCAATAAAAGGCCAGAAATCAGGAAGAATATATGGCATAGCCATTAAAGTGACATTTTAAAAGAAAGTGTGTTTTATGAAAATCAAATGAAAAACAGTTCCATTTTTCTCTAAAATATAGCATTTCTGAGGCTTCGCTGACAAAATAGCCTTTCCCAACTTAGTCCTGGCCTCAAACTACAGCCGACATTGAGAAACTTGTTCTTTATCGTAGACATTTCCAAGGAGTTAGAAACAATTTCAGTCAGCTAAAAACAGTATAATGCGGTACCAAAACAGATGCGAAATAATATTAGTTAAGATCAGGAGCCCTGAGGCAGCAGTAGCAGCAGCCTAATTCCAGGTAAATCCTGGGAAGTATTCGCAAACAATGACAGGCCCCTTGTCGACACTTTACTATTCCTCTCCAAAGGAAGAAAGATTGAAAAATAAACCACCAACAGGTCTCTTTTAAATACGTGGCATTTAAGAACTCCGAACAAGATAAGTAGAACGGCTACAATGCAGACAGCCTGGACGCCAGTCCTCGCCCTGCTACCAACCAGCTGTGTCCTGGGACGGCCACCTAATCTCCCCAGGCCTCAGGTTTGATCTATTTGTACAGGCTGCAATGAGATGATCTGAAGACTTAACAAAAATTTTCTATACAGAAACAAGTCATCCATAATGGCAGTACTCAAAGATAATAAGCACTGTCAACATTTTGATTTCCTAAAGTCTTTTGTTCATTTTATATTTTAAAAGTAAACCTTAAAAATTTCTCTAAGTCATTAAAATTATGTTGAAGAGTAAAACATTCCAAGAGCTACACAGAAATTTCTAAATAAGTGAACCAATTCTCTTCTGCTAACATGGTATTTTTACACTTCCACTAAGTTGCAATAATTATTTTATAAGCAGCCCATGCAACACTCAAATTATTTCTTTCGTATAAAAGAACCGAAAGTTACACACTTTTAACGATTTAGATGCTTAGTGCCAAACTGGCCTTCAGTATTATGCCAGTTTATATTCTCAACAACTATACAAAGGAAAGTTGTGAGATCAGAAAGAAAACCAAGCCAAGAAAACAACTGCCCCAGCAACTTTCTGACAAAACCAAAAGGAAAAGGAGTCAGCAAGATGAGTGAAAAGAGACCAATTAAGTTTGGATACAAGAATTCCACCTGACTGGTAGCAGAGCCTGGGAGAAGGGCAATTTTAGAGAGTAGCAAGACTGTCGGATGTAAACCAAATAGTCTAGCACATGAAAGAATGTTTTTGCCCACTGTCTGTCCAGTATTTTCTGGAGCAAAGTTAACATTGTGTTTAGTTTTAATACAAAAGCAACTCTTCTCTCAAATGTCACTCACCTCTCTAGCTGCCAAAACAATTGTAGTTAGTTGAGAGCGATCGCCCCATTCTGCTAAGAATGTTAACGTAAGTGCTTGAACAAAAATGGGTGAAATAAAATGCAGCCACTTTTTCTGAGGTATTGTCGTGCTTGTACCCGTTTCAACATCTCCTGGTCCATTTAAGAGTTTGGTTCGTTGAAACTAAAATAAAAAAAATGACATTAATCCCAGGAAGCAAATCAAATAATGCAAAATGTATTACTTAATCTTTTTAAAGTGTTTGAATTCTATGGAAATATGCTCCACAGAAACTAAATATGTGACCCCAAACTTCCCCCTGAACCACTAGTCTCACAAAGCAACAAAGCCCTATTCTTCGATTCTTCCATTTCTCTCCAACAAAACAAACATTATTTACTGATCATTTACGTTTCTAGATGCTATAGAAACATGTAAATTACCAACACAGTTCTGTTTCAGGAGCCAATAATCAATCTAAAAATCTGATTGCCTGTTATCCAGTATTAACCTCTCAGCTTCACTCTACCATATCATATTAACCCGCAATCATGTTGCAGCCAGCTGTAAGAATAGACACTAAGCAAAGAAGCTTTTTTTTTTTTTTTAACAGAGTCTCTGCTGTGTCCAGGTAGAGTGAGTGCCGTGCGTCAGCCTGCTCACAGCAACCTCAAAACTCCTGGGCTCAAGCGATCCTCCTGCCTCAGCTCCCGAGTAGCTGGGATTACATGCAGGCGCCACCATCCCGCTAATCTTTTCTATACATATAGTTGGACACTTAATCTTCTATATAGTAGAGAGGGGTCTCGCTGTTGCTCAGGCTGGTTTCGAACTCCTGACCTCGAGCAATCTCCCGCCTCGGCCTCCCAGAGTGCTAGGATTACAGCGGAGCCACCGCGCCCCCAAAAGACTATTTTATGTAGTCTAACACATCCCACAGACTGGCCAGGCTATGACTTACTTTCATCTTTCTTCTTTAATTCTGCTTGAACTTCTTCCAGTTCCTCTTGACCCTCATCAGGGCTCATCTTTAAGCCTTCCCGAAGCATTCTAACGCCAAAATAGTGGCAAATAATGCAGTTGAAACGTAGTATGTGTACACCCTGGGGATGACGTGTGTGGCATAGCACAACAGAACTGGAAGAGATGCAAGAGTGTGTGTGTTAAGCAGCGTGTACCAACCAACCGAAGAACACTTCAACCAACCAAGAACTTCAGAAATCATATATTACACAAGGAAAAATGGTTCACATTAGAATTATCTAATATGTAATAACCTATAATAATCCACTTCTTTCCCCTCTACCATATTGAACCCTCAGGTCTACCAAGACTAACACAGCTTACCAAGAACCAATTTCCCTTGAAATGGCCTATCTTCCTCAGAGACCTTAAAGAAGATAATGAACTCCCTCCCAAACACGTCAGCCAGGGCTGGCTTGCCACTTATCTTGTGAGGTAGAAGGGTAGCTCTGGATGTCCTCGAAGAGCCAGAATCTTATAACCTGGAAGCCTATACCATTCCAATGTAGTGTATTTCTTCCTCACAAACTTTAAATACAACCAGTACGTTAGAAGAATGAAAAGATTCTCATATAGCATGATTCAAATTCTCTCTTGTAACTATTAAAAAAATATGTCTTATGAAAGAAACTAAAATTCTATAACATATATTAAAATAATGTTTACACTGACTCAAATTATTCAGTAGTATTCCTTCATACTGTAAGGAAAAGATAAGTGTAAGTTATAAAAAAAATGATCCTTAGAACGACATCAAGACATGCAACTGGCCGGGGGTGCTCACCTATAATCCTAGCACTCTGAGAGGCCGAGTGGGCGGTTTGCTTGAGGTCAGGAGTTCGAAACCCAGCCCGAGCAAGAGCAGACCCGTCATCACTATAAAGAAGAGAATTAATGGCTAACAAATAATATAGAAAAATTAGCCGGGCATGTGGTACATGCCTGTAGTCCCAGCTACTCGGGAGGCTGAGGCAGGAGGAGCTGAGCCCAAGAGTTGAAGGCTGTGAGCTAAGGCTGACGCCACAGCACTCACTCTAAGCCTGAAGCAACAAGCAAAACTTGTCCAATAAAAAAAAAAAAAAAAAATGCAAATCCTAACTGAAACACAAGTTACATAATTACAATTACAAATAAGGAGGCAAGAGGCGAGGCGGATGCTCGAGGTTCAGAGTTCAAAAAGCCTGAGCAAGGAGGCGAGACCCCTTCTCCCTATAAATACAAAGAAATTAATTGGCCAACTAATATATATAGAAAAAATTAGCCGGGCATGGTGGTACATGCCTGTAGTCCCAGCTACCCGGGAGGCTGAGGCAGTAGGATCGCTTGAGCCCAACAGTTTGAGGTTGCTGTGAGCTAGGCTGACGCCACAGCACTCACTCTAGCCTGAGCAACAAAGCAAAACTCTGTCTCAATAAAAAAAAAAAAAAAAATACAAATCCTAACTGAAACACAAGTGTATCAGTAATTAAAACTTACAAATGATGAAAGGGGCAGAGGACCATACATATAATAAATGCAATTATGGCTTATTTCACTAGTTTTTTATAAAATGGGTACACTTATAAAACTGCCTGAACATCAAATGTATAGCTGCATATACTACATTACAAAATTAGATTTTACAATCATGTTTAGAAATGTAGCAAACCTATTCTTGTGTGCATATCTACATTTGAATTGTATGCATATTTATGTATATTTGTACATATGTTTGTGTGTACACACACACCATACAGGCTTATGTATTTTCTAGCTCTATGTGCCGAAAAGGCCAAGAAGCAAAGACATGTTAGTAACAATGAGCCCACCCTGTGCCCAGATGTTGGGTTTTAATATTATTCTCCACTAAAAGGCTCCTCAAGGCTTCTCAGAGAAATGGCCAATTTAAGGACTGGGCAGAATAGGTTATAAGATGAACTTTTCTTTTTCTGACCAGTGAGTACATCCCCCCCTTTACATCTATTTTTTTTAAAAAAAGCTTCAGTGTTAATGCAAACCCTACTTCTTCATTCTAGCCAGTAAGTAGTATTCATTCATGGGTACATAAACTTATTTAAAAAGATCATCTCATGAAGAGAGGTATTTACATCTCATTAAGAGATGTATTTATAATTTTAAAAAATATTTAAATTTGTGACATATTTGCTTTGATCAACTGTGTACTAATAATAACTGTAAATCCATAGAGCTAACATTTAGAAACAAAGGAAATTTCCAACATCTTAAAATTCAATTATATTACCTGTACATTTTCATTGCAAATAAATATGATAGGGTAGTCCAGGAAAGATTTGGAAGCAAACATTTATAATCATTAGGGTAAAATTTTGTGAGGAAAGTAAATGAAAATAAGAATTATAAGAGGAAAATACATAAATTTTCAACTGTTAAGAGTTTTTTTTTAACAGAATGATGGTGCTGGTAGGTATCAAATTATTAATGGTATTTAGATTCCACTGGGTATATTTTAAAATACCATTAAGTTTTATTTTACAAAATATGCCACAAATTGGGTATTTACAACTTCTTAAATTTAAGATGAAAAATTTTAGGCAACTTTCATGTGAGAGCTGGATACATAATTTTTCAAAATTATTTAAGAGAAGATACAAAGAAAAGGTCTGAAGACCACTGATACAGACTATTTTATGAAGTACAGATGAGGAGAGCTGTCATGGCCCCAGCGGACAGCAGACTCACAGCACGCCAAGAGCTGAGGAAGAGGAACGGAACACACACAAGAGGGGGAGAACTGACGAGCCAGTGGTCCAGAGCAGGGAATGGGTGCAGGCAGAGAAGGCAGCCTTCTGGTTATTATCACAGCTGTCAATTTCAGCCACAGAGTTCTCTGATACCATTAAACTCATGCCAAATAGTGACATCTGAGACTCCACTGTTCCCCTTTCCTATAATCAAAATTCGCTTCTGAAGAGCAAATTATGTTCTTACTGTGAAATATGAATAATGCCCTTACAAATTTCCAGAATGTGAAAGGTATTCAAATGATTTTCACCATTAAAATACTCACTTAGATGTTTAAAATACATAAACTTAAACAAGCAGCCAGAACAGAAACTGTTCTGTTCTTTACAAAATGAGTTTCATAATGATAAATCTAAGGCATGCTGAGGGAAGAGAGGTGAATGAGCACTCCAAATACAGTATCTCATTAATACACCATAGACAGCCCTATGAGGTAGGTATTATCTCCATTTGACAGATGAGAGAACTAAAGCTCAAAGAGGTTTTTAAGTACCTTATGATTAGGCTAATTCATGGCAGAGTATACAACACTCAAACCCAGGTCTGACTCTAAGGGGAAAGCTCACTATTTTCCACCAAACCATGTAGCTTGGGTGGCTTTAGAATCAGAGAGTAAACTTTGTTATTTTTTTCCCCTTTTGCTTTTTTTAAGATACAAGGTCTCACTCTGTTGCCCAGATTGGTGTGAAGTGGCGAGATCACAGTTGACTGGAACCTCGAACTCTTGGGCTCAAGCCATCTTCCACCTCAGCCTCTCAAAGTGCTGGGGTTACAGGCATGAGCTACTGCACCCAGCCTGTTCAATTATTTTAGTGTTAAGTTTACTTTCTTATGCTCTAATTCTTCAAGAAAGCAAAGCCTATAAAGTAGTAAATCAAAAAGTTACAAAAATGGAGGCTAAGAATGTTTCCCGCCTTACCATAATGGGTAAGAATAGCTTAATAAAACACAATAAACTGAAAATTACTTCTAAGTTATTATTTCACAAATGTCCTTTAACAGAAAAACATGCAATTCTCTGTGGCTTCTTGGGTACTAGTTCTACAATATCGAATATAAATATTTACCTGGACTGAAAAGAAAAATAGATGAAACAGAATAAAAGCAAAGAAAAAAAAAACAGTGAATAAATGAGTATGTATCTTGGTTCTAAATAGGTAAAAATTTTATTTAAAAAGTGCAACCTGGTTTTTAGGAATATATGTACTGTAACCATTTGCTGTTTACTAAAGTCTACAACAGAAACCAATTTCCAATATAACTAAGCAAATGATTCAACAACTCCACACCACCACCGTGCTTCCCCTTTGACTCAGCTACTCATTGGGCAAAGAACACTCACCTGATAAGCACGTCATCAGGCCCAAGGCGAGCATCGCGCCAGCCAACACGGTCAACCGGTTATAGCGCATCGCCATGATGGCTGCTATAAAAAATGTCTTATCACCCAGTTCCGATACAATGATAACTGATATGGCAGCAACAAATGCATGGATAAACCCCAAGTTAGTCTGAGCAGCTGGATCTTCTTTATTGGTATGAACTGGGGCCAGTGGTGTAGATCCTTTCTGAAATTAAAAAAAAAAAAACATCTGTTACTTTTTGAAAAAAAAATCACTTAAAATTATTTTATTCTGCATGTGAATAAGATTGTTTTTATTTTTTCGTCATGGTCATTAGACTTATTTACTGTCTAATCAATTTGAAAGCCATTAGTAATGACAGTAACCTCTGATGATGGCTGGTACAGATTGATCATACCTTAATCTGAAAAGCTTGGGACCAGAAATGTTTCCAATTTTAATTTTTTTGGATTTTGGAATATGTGCATTATAAATGAGCATCCCTAATCTGAAAATCTGAAATCCAAAATGCTCCAAAGAGGGTTTCCTTTGAGTGTCATGTCAACACTCAAGAACTTTTGGATCTCGGAGCATTTTGAATTAGGGATACCTCAACACATATAATGTAGATCTATGTATGATTCTCCACAACAATTTAAAGAGACCAGCTATATCCATGAATTAAAATTATCTTATTTTTAAAGTATTTGGGATTTGGTTCTTAGCTATGTCTCATTCAAATTTTTATTAGTAACTTGGATGGAAGACCCAGGTATGTTTATCAAACATTCAAGTGACATTAAGCTGAGAGAAATTTCGTTAACACTTTAAAGAACAAAGGAGGATCTAGAAAGCTCTCACCAGGCTAGAGCATGAGTTGGCTCTCGTTAAAACAGGGTTTATTGTAGCCAGATGTATGGACAGTCCTATGCTGTAGTCTAAAAATAACCTAGAAGGTAAAGTGGCTTAATAAGACAAACCAGAGTCTTGGTTGGCATTAAGCTGAAAATGTGATAAAACTCCAAAAAAGCAATAAGCACTTTGCTTTCAGGAGTCAGTGACAAGTTCAATATTATTCTGTACTGTTTAGCCTTCCCCAAAGTTCTGTATGTGGTTCTGAGGCACCACACTGTAAGAAGGCACTGCTCTTTCAGAATCACCAGAGATAAAAAGAAGAGTCTGGAACCGGAGATTGGCAGGTCACTCCTGAGGCCAAACCCAGCCTGTGAGACCGAAGAATATTTTTACTACCTATCTGTCTGTCTATCTATTTAATCAATCTATCTAACCTATCTATCTATTTATTTTTTGAGAAAGGAGGGAAAGAAGGAAGGAAGCTTTTGCAACAGAGACCTTACATAGCCTGGAAATATGTGGCCCTGAAAAACCTAAAACATTTACCGTCTGGCCCATTACAAAAAGTTGCTAACTTGGCTCTAACACAATCCCACGAGGGACAAAGAAGGGACAGGGTGTCTGTGTTCCAATAATTGGGAAAGTCTGTATGAGAGTCTATTGCTCTGTCCACTCTATGTGGTCCCGAGAGGCAGAATAAAAAGTTAGAGGTGGCAGTTTTAATTAAGCTTATTAGAGAGAAAAGATTTCTATCTCAACAGAGCCAGCTGAAGCTGGAATGGACTGCTAGCGGAGGTGGTAAATTCTCTTCTCACGGCCTGAGTTCCAGAGAAGGAAAATACCACTTACAGGAAATGGGCTAGACAAGTGGTTCTCAGCCAGAGCAATTTTGTCTCCCAGGGGACATCTGGCTACATTTGGAGACATTTTTGGGGCTGTCACAACTGAAAGGGAACTACTCACATCTAGTGGGTAGAGGCCAAAGATGCTGCTAAATATGCTACAATGCACAGGACAGCCCCTCCACAACCAAGAATTACCCATCCAAACGTCAATAGTTCTCAGATTGAGAAACCCTGGGCTAGATATGGATAAATCACTTCTAAAGGTCTCTTTCCATCCTAATTATTTTAATTAACTTTAAAGGCTATAAATCTCTACAAATCTAAAAGATAAGTAAATGAAACCCAAAAACATAGTTATTTTGGACAGGGTGAAAACAAGTACTGGCAAAGGCCCAGTCAGACATCAAAGTAATCTGAATTCTTACTGTTCATGTCATTCCTTAATACATAACACAAACCTGACTCCAAATTTCACAGTAAATATCAGAAAAATTTAAGCATCACCTTTGAGACTAAAATTCTGAGCTAAATATTGGGGAAATTTAACAATTCAGAAACTATCTGCTGCCTTGACAGCCAGCTCTTAAGCAAGTACACCATATTTTAAGGGCTTCTGCTTTCTCTCCATTACCACAGTTCCATCTATGCTCCTTCCACTCTGATGTTCCTTTCTCTTCCAGTATCCTGTGAGTATTAAGCATCCTAAAAAATAAAGGCATTTCAACTCAGCTCTCCCTAACACTTTTTCCTCCTGGATATATTTTTTATATGAAGAAACTTCATTGTAAAATTTCAAGATCTGAAATTTAAGAAAAATTTTAGGAATATACACCATTTATGATCACTTAGCTCTAAGCTCAAACAGAAAATGTTTACTTTTCAAATCAAACATCACAGTGGTCACAACTACATATTCTCATGGTTTCATAATTCCCAGCCATAAAGTCTTGGCCACATTATTTAATCTCTGTTCTTCTGTGAAATAAAGAGATAAAATAAAATTTGCCTTAAGAGTACAGTCATGTGCATGTAACAACGTTATGGTATGGACCACATATATAACGGTGGTCCCGTAAGATTTTTTTTTTTTAAGGCTGGTCAAGGGAAGCAGTGGGAGGAGAGAAGGAACAAAGGAATCTGTAATTGGTTGTGATCAATTAGTTGTAAACACCACAGCACTCGGACCAGCTCCCGTAATATTTTAATACCGTATTTTTACTGTACCTTTTCTATGTTTAGGTATGTTTAGATACACAAATCCCTACTGTGTTACAACTGCCTATAGTATTCAGTACAGTAACATGCTGTATAGGTCTGTAGCTCAGCAGCAATAGACTACACCACATAGCCTACATGTGGAGCAGACTATACTATCTAGGTCTGTCTAAATACACTTGTATGATGTTCACACAATGACAACATTGCTTAACGACATGGCTGCTTAACAACACATTTCTCAGACTATATCCCTACCATTAAGAATATATGATTGTAATCCAAAAAACTGCATACTCTTACAACCTTCCTATATATGGAACACAAGAAAAATCAACCTATCGATGGCCAAAATCATACTGGTAAACAACCAACCATGGTGATAAGAACTTAAAAGTATCAGGGTGCTGTGAAGACAGAAAATTTTTTTAAATTAAAGTATTAATTGGATTAGAAATCTTCAGTTATCATACATTTATTGCTCATTGTGTGCAAAGATCACCTCCTTTGTCTAATTCACCTTCACAGTGACATAGCAAAGGAGGCTCTGGAATCGGGCTGCCTGGGTTCACATCCAAGGCATGATCGGTGACTGTGTGCCACTGGGCCAGTAAGTACACTTCCCTATGACTCAAGTTCATCTGCAAAGTAGGTGCCACCTACACCTCACAAAGTTGTGGGGAGGATTAAATTAAACAAATAAGGCTCTTTGGGATGATGCCTAATACACAGTAAGCACTCTATTAGTTTTTGTAGTACCACACAAAATGACCAGCTTAATCTTCCTGAAACTAATTTCATTCTGTTACTTCACTGTTTAAGAAACTGTAATGGTCTTTTCATACCTAGAATGTAAAATCCAAATACTTATGGTAACTATCCAGCACTTCCTACACCAGTTCCCAAAAGGTACCTTATCCACCATGCTAACAAATGAGCCAGAGCATCACTGTCTGATAAAAAATAATGTGAGCTGCAAAGATGAGCCACATAATTAATGCAGTTTTACATTTTCTAGTAGCCATAGTTTTAAAAGTGAAAATAGGTTATTTTTAATAATATTTTATTTAGTCCAATGTATCCAAAACACTATTATTTAAATTATAAGCAGCATTCTAAAAATTCTTGAGATGTTTTAACATTCTTTTGTTCATACTAAGTCTTCAGACTCCCGTGTGTACTTAACCACACATCTCAACCTTGAACTAGCCCCAGGTCAAGTGCAGCACAGGGGTCACGGCCACTGCACTGGGCAGTGCAGCTCGAGAGCACGTCAAGCTTTTGCTAACCACAAGCCTTCAGTCACAGCCCTACTTCCTTTTTATCATCCCCTATTCATCTAGATTCCTCAAGCTCTCACACAAGTGGACCCTCTTGAGCAAGGACTATCCAAGTAACTCTAGCCCTTACTATCCTGCCCCCGTAAAATAAAACTGAATGTATCCTATGGGCAATAAAGTCATGGCAGGTGCATGACAGAAACAAAGTTTAACATAGGAACCCTCAAAAAGTTGATCATTTTGTATTAAAAACATGTATACATGTAAGGCTATCATTCACAATAAAAAAAGACAAAATAACAAAATGTCCATCAACAGGAAACTAGTTAAACGGTAGATCCCAAGTAATGGAATAGTATGGAGCTAAAATAAGAATGTTCTGTATATACTAATGTGGAAAAATCATTAAAATAATTTTAAGTTGAAAAAGAATATTATGTGTATGTATGATTATGTGTGTGGGAGGAGCAGGGTAGGCAGGCACATACAATATGTAGACAAATGTAAATCACACCAAATCTCAAGAATCAAGTTAATAACGGGTCTTTCCAGGGAAGCAGCCAGAATGACTACAGGGGTCGGCACACTTTTTCTAGAATAGAAGGAAAAGAGACATAATTTCTCACTCTACAGCCTTCTGTACCTTTTCGATTTTTTTTAACATGCACATCATTACAGACACTTGTGCACCACTTCAAAAACCTCTTGCCGAACTTCTTACTCCAGCTATGGGAGACCAGTTTCTTATAGGCTGTTTCTGGTTTAAGGAAGGTCCAACCAGAAAGCACTGCTGCTCTGCACTTACCCATTCACTACCTGGAAGCAAGGGGGAGTTAAACATTTGTGGGGCAGGCAATCTTTGACCAGTAAGGAAGTCAGTTCTGAGATTCACCTCATAAGGCTCTTTGAAAGTTGCAGTGAGATTCACTACTAGTCACTCTTAAGTGGCTAACATGAAAATATATCAAAAGTATACACATTTATCTCTTTTTCTGGACTGACAATGAGAAATAATATAGGTATATTCTGA